CTGTTATGTTAAACCTATATTAAAGTTTTTCTTCATTATCCATTCAAGCCGTCTCCAGCCATTATTAGTCTCAAAGTGGGTTCCTCGTCATGGAACATGCATCATAGTAATTTTTCTGAAATGGTATCATTCTGGGAGAGGGCGTTGACCGCAGTAAGACGAAACCAGGATTTTGAGTCTAACTTCTGAGTAATATTTATTTAACAATCTTATATATATCTAGAAAAATATTAGTTGGTATATTAAAAACGCACAATTAATGTTAATATGAAATTGTGAAGAAACCTGTGGATTTTTTAAGTTGGCTTCAGGCTAATTAAATACTAATAGTAATAATATTAATGCTAATACTAGTATACTCATTAATAGTAATAGGCCTAACTGAATTTAACTTTTAAGTTAAAGCCTAACGAGTAACGTTAAAAGTTGGATGCCTATGCCAAGGAAAACTAAAGTCATATTATTCTCAAGCTATTAAAGATTTTAGTCGTACTATGTTATAACGTTGAGCCTGTCACCACGTTAATTGTGTTATTTATAATTATACGTAACTATGAGTTATAAATTATAGGATGCAGCGATCATTTATGACAAGCATAACTTGAAAGTTGAAATATTATAATATTAGTATTGTTATTAGTACAACTGCAAGTTATAAACGATAACGGATAAGGCAGGCGGAAGATTGCATCATTGTTGAATTACTCTTATTGCAATCTTACTTAGTATTACAAACTGTTACTGTAGTACTGAACCAAGCAAGCATATTGATACTAATGGCAGTACTAAAGTGTTGGCATTAGAGACAGACAAAATCTGCAGAAAATATTTATACCTTCTGCAGGTGGGTTTTCATTTTCAGTGACACAGTCAGTATTTGAAAAAGAAACAACTTGCTAGAATTAGTATTAGCATATTAGTTATTATCTTGCTTTGTATATGTAGTATGGATTTTTGATGTAAAAATTAAGATATAGGGTTAATTTTTATTATTAGTTCTAAAGAGTATATGAATTATAGCACTCAGAAACTACTTTAAACCATTAAAATTTATCATCAGAGGCTCCAGATTTGTTTTATTTTGTGTATTTCTCCACCAATAGATCTCTGAATGTGGGGTAAAAATCTGAATTTCAGCATTGGAAACAGGCATGTAAACTATTTGTTTGGCCATCATTGTAAAATATTGCATACATGGCTTTTGTGCATTCCATAAGTCACTTGCCATGGTCTAGTAAAGCTTTAATGTTAGATGAAACATAGTTGTATGGGTCTGTTTATTTACCCTGAAGAACCCACACAAGTACAGAAAATGAAAACAATGGTGCTGTATGTCATAAATACTTCATATTTTCTCTAATTATACACCAAATAGAATATAAAGTAATACCAGATTGAAAAAATTATACTGCAATGGAATGAGAAGATTGGGATAAGACAAGATAATGCATAAAAAGAAGCAAAGTATGGAGACACCACGACCATGATTTAATAAGAAGGACTTTATATATTAATCATATTGGAAAAGATGTTTAATTAATAAAGTCTCCTTTATCTGCACCATTCACTGATGAGCAAACAATGCTGAAGTCTTTATCACAAGATATTGAGTTATACATGATGGCATGTCGATAAATACTGAAATGATTTCCTTTATTTGATATGAGACATTCTTTGATTTGAATCACTAGATGGCATACAGTGGGAACAATATATATCTGTTTACAATAGACAAATGTAAATTGGTAAACTTTTCTAATTGCTGTTTTTAAATTCTTCAAATTTTGTGGACTTTTCTGAAAGATATTCCTTTCAGGAAATCCCATAGCATAATTGAGGTTCAAGTAAAATTTCAGTAAAATTTGTGGTTATTAAGATATTAAAAGGTTCAGTATCTTTTTCTTTATTTTAAAACTTGTAGAACCCATAAATAGTAGTACTGTTGATAGAGGTTAGTTATGTACATAAACACTTGTGCTTAGGAGGTTTCACTTTTCTTAGGTATTTTTTCACGATCTTGCTACGTAAGTTTTGAAGGAAACAGTTTTTCTTGAGATAATTCTTGATGTTATCACATTTTGGATGGAATACCAGTTTTATACTTATTTTTTACAGGCTGTATTCTGTATTAAAATAAGATTATTCTTGCAAACAGAAGATGTGGAACTTTCTTAAACCTGAAAAAGGCAATGGTACAGTTATTTTTGACATAACCTGTCAGATGATTAGAGGCTTAAAGAACTGAAAACTGATCCTATTCTGAAAAGAGAGTATAAATGAGTTAAAAACAAAGGTATTACTTTTGAAGAGGTTAGAACCATAGGTTCACAATGTAGTATTCTTTATTGATTACCTGAAGTTCTTAGAACTGACTGTCCCATTTCTTCATTAATCCTTTAAGCATGCTGGTCACCATATGGTGTCCACATAATGCAGTTTGAATTTCCTGCTAGAAATGAAAGTCGTGCACACAAAATCAATCAACCATCTCAGTTTGTATACTTATACATTAAATTTCAAAAATAAAGTTGCCATCTCTAATGGCTTGTCAGGTTGAATTAAACATGTTACAAAGTCTCAAACAAAACTTTTTTCTTGTTTCTCTTGATTCAGTGACACCTATGGGGCACTATTGCAACATACTTTGTGTAATAGTTTTTGAAGTACTGTTACTAGTAGAAACAATAGCTCATTTTCAAGCATTGTGTTTCTTACATGCCATATGCTCAACTATGTATTGACAATTCACATAATCCACCAAATGATTGCAACTTACAAAATAATTTTTCCAACTTAATGTAATAACTATCCCTAAATCGCTTTGATGGTCATTTGTTGTAACTTTCACTGAGATGCATTTGTTTATAGAACATTCTGAGCAAGATTTCTAAGATAATGTTTACATCTATTCAGATCTGCCATTGCGGTTCGCTGTCACTTGCAACTTGCTTTGTATTTGCAAATCAACAATATAAATACTTCATTTCTCGATTTCTAGAGAGCTCATTTAGGCAGAAGGTTTAAGACAAGTCCAATTAAAAATTCACAATTTCAATGTGCAACACAATAAATATCACTTCACTTTTATATTTTGTCACTAGGGGAAGAAAATTGCAAAAATTCATGGATTCCACAGAATTTCCATGAAAATCACAAAATATGCGAGTTCTGCAAAATTACTGTTTTTAATCAGAATATATACTCATAACTTTCTTTTATAAATTTTGTGGTACTATTGTCTGTCGTATAGTTGCTATACTTTATGTTTTATTTGCTGCAAAACACATTGGAATCTAGTATATACTCACTTTTTTTTTCTTCAAGTAATACTAACTCTCAATGAATTTACTGTTATTTTGTTTATTAATAACATTATCTAACTCCCATATTACTTCAGTGTCACTTGCATAGCTTTTTTCTTCATCTTTTACCTTGTCAATCTGTTTCAAATTCACATTATGATCATTTACTTTAATTATATTTGCTATATCTACATTAAAGCATTTTCTACCTGTCTGTTTATACACATCAGATTCATAGACTTGTAAGAGCAGCAACCACCTTGTTAATCTTGAAGATAGATCCCTTAGTGTCATTAACCACAGCAAGGGTGTTTAATCTGTAATTATGGTAAACTGTACTACCATACAAGCAACAACAAAATGTCTTTAATATCATGTACTACTGCTGAGCATTCTTGTTGTCATAGATTAATTCATATCAGCTTTACTTTGTCCAGTTTGATATGCTAAGGGGTGTTTCTTCCTGTCTTTGTATAGCTGTGATAAAAGTGCTTCTATTATGTAACTGCCATTCATTATAGGGTTGTAAGTCTGTGGAACAAATTTTCATCTTTAGTGGTAGAGGTTGTGACTTTACAGGAGTTTTTTTAAAAAAAGGGGGTTGATGATCATTTTGGAGATAAAGGCTAGATTTAGTGATTATTTTTCTGTTTTGAGAGAGTTTGAGAATCAGGAATCTTTGATGGGCCAGAAGGCCCTTGATGACCCATAATTTCTAATAATAATAATGATAACGTATTTAGAAAAAGAAATTCTTATAACGAAATAATTTATGTACATTGATTGTAATGATAATGATTGTTTAGAACTTCTCAAAATACATCATATATTTAAAATAAAATGTTTTTGCATATCAGATTATTTTTCAGTAAAGTATATATATTGCTATAGATATTCTGTTCAGATAAACTAATTACAACACTTTCAGAAATACCACTTTTAGTTAACCATACAGCATATGCTATCATTATTATACTAAAAGTAATTATGAAATAAGCCCCTCATTCAGAATTTTTGTATCATAAAAACTACTCAATCTAAGATGACCAAATGTAGTCAGAGGTATTGAGAATCATCAACCCTATCCCTAAATGAATCATTTTTTTTGTACAGTGTTCACTGATCCTCAAACTCTTTTCTAGTTGCTGTTTCCAGATCCTCCAAGTTTTGTGGGCTATTCTGATAGATATGTCCCCCAGTGGGACAGCAGTAAATCTTCGGATTTACAATGCTAAAATCACGGGTTCGATTCACCTTGGTGGACTCAGCAGATAGCCTGATGTGGTTTTGCTATAAGAAAACACACACACACGCTGATATTCCCTCTGAGGAAGTCCCTTAGCCAAATATCTTCTGGTGCAATGTCCATGGATCTTGTGCCATCTTTCGTTTTGGAATTCTTATTTGATCATATTAAACTGCCATTATTGTCAGAGCACATTTGAACAACAAGTCTACAATTCTGCATACTGACATGCATTTTACTTACATTACCAATCTCATATAGTTGAAAAAGAAAAACTTCATTATTTGAATAGAGATATTAGGTATGCTGTATGTAGGGATCTGTGTATAACAGCAGCATATGGTTCAGATGCCTCAAAATTATAAAAAACATACCCTTATATCAATTTAATATTTTTGATTACTAAAATTTGTTATTTAGCTGGTTTGTTGAATTACTTTGTGTATTGAAAATTTTATGAATATTCAAGGCTTCAGACATACATAATTTTAACATAATTTTGTTCATCTACAGAATTGTGTAGCTGTGGTCAAGGATGTTCACCATTGTGAAAACTACACTAGTTCCAGGACAAAATTTTAGTTATTGAAATGGAAAAGAAAAAAATGTGGTATGCTCTTCCAGATTCACTTCTTGTTCAAGTATTTTCTCATTTAAATGCTGTTAGCCTCGTGCAAGTTGGAACAGTTTGCCAGTCATGGCATAGAGTATCATGTGATGAACTGCTATGGAAGAAGCTTTTTCACAGAGATTGGAAAATTGATTCAAGTATTCCAATTGCATCTGGAAAAACTTCTTGGAAAAGTGAATACAAACGTCTTAAACACCATACACCAGTTTTAGAATCAGAAGTTCTTACTGACCATACTCACCAAGTACTTCATGTTAGTTTCTCGCACAATGGTGATATGTTTGCCAGTTGCTCAAAGGATGGTTACGTTAAGGTAGGTTGACAAGATTATTTTGTTCAATACATTAAACATTTTGAAACTTGCATTTGTATTAGGAGTGTAATAAAGGGTAGGTTTTTTGACCTTTGGAGGTTTGGAACACATTACTGACTGAAGGTTCAAACTTTCAATAGTAATAATTTGTGTAATTTACTGATGATATCATCATAACTACTAGTTTATATTTGATTGAAAACCAGTTTATTTTAAAGGTAACCCATAATATGAAATAAAACTTTTGCAGTTTAAAAATATAAAGAACAGAAATCTTGTTTTTTCTGTATTTCAACTCTTTCCAGACAGGTCACGGGTGAAAGGCCATATCATCGCATTTATTGACTTTCATTCAAAATTTTATTGAACTACTATTTCATGAATCTATGTCAATAAGCTTGGTATCAAACTATAGATTATAATTCAAATTTTAGTGTTATATCTTACTCAATTTTTAATTTAAAAGAAAATATT